TATATCTTTATTGACTTCAGAGAGAGAAAAGGAGAGGGAGAGAGAGAGATAGTAACATCAATGATGAGGGAGTCATTGATCGGCTGCCCCCTGCATGCCCCCAACTGGGGATCGATCCCGCAACCCTGGCATGTGCCCTGACTGGGAATCGAACCCCAAGCGCCTGGATCCCTGGTCGGAGGCTCAACCGCTGAGCCACGCCCGGCCAGCCATGCTCTTGAAATCGTGCTCCTGAGACCTCCAACTGGGTCCTGGAGCACAGCAACCAAGAATGAGGGCAGATACAAATGACTGCCGGGAGAAACGAGCTTGGAGACATTTCTACAACGTCTTTTCTGTGCCCGGTGCTGGGTTGGGCTTCGTGGGACAGGGGTGGGGGCAGGGTGGGCAGAGGGAGAGCAAGGAGATGAGGATGAGAACTCTTTCGGTTCCTAGAGACAGACACCTGATCAAACTGTATTTGAAAGGAAGGGTGGGGATATTGATTAACTGTGTCACTGAAAAGTCAACTCAGGCTTCAGACCTGGCTGGACCTTCCAAAATGAGGCCCCAGGAGGGGTGAGCTCTAACTCTCGTCAGGAGATGAGGAGTTTGGGTTGGTCCCATCTGGGTTCTCCAGTGAAGCTAGACAGGATCCTCTGTCCTTGGCTCTGCTTTCCTCTGGCAGGCTTCACTCTCAGGCAGGCTCTCCGTCCTCAGAGTGACAAAATGGCACCCAGCATCTCTAAGCTGACACCCCACCAGCTTAGCCTCCCCTGGGGCACAAGAGCATCTCTTCTCCAGAGTTCCAGCAGAAGTCCTGGGTCCAACTCTTACCGGCCTAGGTTGGGTCATGTACCCATCTCAGAACCAATCATTGTGGCCAAGGGAATGAATGCCCTGCTTAGTGGAGCCTGGTTGTATGCCCACCTGGTCCAAGCGCTCCTGCTGGAAAGCAGAGCATGATCAAAGGTCCTGGGGCAGGAAAGGAACAATAAAAGAGTCCTTAGGGACATGCTGGGAGA